TGAAATCTACATTCAAAAGTCAGAATTTATAGATTATAATAATTTTTTTAGAGATAAAAGCTTTTAGTCAACACTCTATCTTACAGGAAATATACACGTCGATTAGGATTGGCGAGAAGTAGCAAAACTAAATATGATAATGCGGTAAATTGAATATTATTGTAGATATCAAGTAATCTTCCATCCCCGCAAGTTTTCCGATGACGATTCTTCCTCTATAAAACATCATGTGATCTCGAAGTTGGCGTATTTACCTCATTAATGGTGATCTATTCGCGAACGAAAATCGTCGCAAGCGGAGAAAAAGAGACGGAACGAAAAACGGAGGGAAGGAGAGGGAACCATTAGCGAAGAATTCGCAGCGTTCGCCAAAAATGCAGAGAGCCTCGTCGGATCCAGTCGTTTTACTCGTTCCGCCTTGCTACTCTCCTCCCGGTCGAGGAGGTCAACTGTTTTATTGGCTAAGGGTCGCGGCGCACGCCCTCGGAGCCACGGTTTCGGTTAACCGAGCCAAACCCCCGAAATCGGAGCGACGAATTATCGCCTTGGTAAACCTCCGCGCGCGCAGACCGTCTTTTTCCTTTATCCGTCGTCGCCACCTATCGCGCCGGATGTCCCAGTTCCCTTGCCCCGTTGATTAAAAATTGCTCGCCCGAGCGCTCGCAATTTTCCCGAGAAATGTCGTTGTCAGCAGTATCATACGTTTGGCGTTTAGTTTTAAACGTAGCTGTTTGATTATTGTGTTCAGGCAAAGAATGCTATCTTTGTATCAGAGAAGACTTAAAGAAAGAGAAAAAAAATGAATCGGATTCAATAATATGTCACGAGAGGACAGCCTTATATCCCCTCTCCTCTCTCCTCTCCTCCTCTATACATTGAATATAAAACGTACAACTTATATCAATAAATTTATAATATATCGAGATTTTTTAGTCCGTTTCCTTCTAAATTAAATAAAATCTCTTTTCGGCATCAACGACGGTGTATATCTACGGATATTTTCACGTAGCCTGCATTGCGGTATCTATGAAGGATGCACGTGGACGTATGATTGTCGCATTTTTCACATATTCTTATAAAATATCAACTCGCCGTACGCACATTACGTGTCTGATCACTACAAGCCAACCTAATAACACTGCAATTCGAGTAGCGCAAGAAGAAAAAGGTTTCCGCCGCCGCACGCACGAGAACGGACGAACGGACGGAGCGCTTACGCACGTGTGCTCACCGACACATACGCACACACATAGGCGCGTACACACGGCTCCGGCTACACGCCGACGGGCCCGTGCTTGTACGGGACCTTTAGCGGCTCGCAAGCCGCAGTCGGGACGATCAATGACAACCTCTCTTTCTCTCTCTCTCTCTCTCTCTCTCTCTCTCTCTCTCTCTCTCTCTCTCTCTCTCGCACGCGCGCTGCGTCCTCGTCAGGTTCACCGTAGGCATGGTTAGTCCGCTTTCTATCTCTGTCTCTCCACTCTTTCTCTGTCTAGGCTTCATAACCGCGAGAGAGAGAGAGAGAGAGAGAGAGAGAGAGAGAGAGAGAAATGGGAAACGACGTAGCGAGATGAAAAGAGAGAGGAGCGCTCCCTCTCAATCAAGATAGACGCGCGAGAGGCTTAGCACCGGGAGAGGAGGCGAACACGAGCGCGGTGGCGGCGGTGGCGGCGGCGACGGCGTTTCTCTCCATGAGGGGAGCAAGCGAGAACGTCTCGAAGCCACAGCCGACGGAGCCCGACGAGAGGGGAGACTTATACCGCTTCGGGTCTCGGAGTCGGAGTCTCGTAGTCGGCAAGCGGGGGCGGGGTGCGGGAAGGAAGGAAGGGTGGCCGGTGTAGAGACTGTGGTGCGAGAGAAATACGAGGAAAGCACGGAACCACGTAGCAAGACGGAGAAGAGAGAAGAGCGCGAGCGAGCGCGGTAGACGGTACACGGAGCGGGACGAAACAACGAACGAGAAAGGATGCAGAGAGAGAAAGAGAGAGGGAGGGGGGGGGGGGAACGAACGCGGAACAGGAGGAAGCGAGGCAGGACGGACGGGAGGAAGAGCCGCGGCCTGTCTGTGCCTCTGCTTCGGAAAGTGACTAATGACTAGCCGGCCAGACCTACTCTCCTGCCACCCTCGAGGCGAGCGAGCGAGCGAGCAAGAGGGACCGAGTGGAGCAGAAGAGAAGGAAGGGCTCCTCTCTCTCCCGTGAGAGTTATCGCGGTGGCGAACCTTTCCTCTTCGCCGTTGTTATCTCGTGGCCCTCGACGACGGTCAACCGTGAAAAATGAGTGTCGCGAGCGGGTGATATTTTGCGGGACGCCGTGGCGAAGGACGGAAATGGAGCGGGAGAGAAAGAGAGAAAAAGAGAGAGAGAGAAGAAAGGAGGATGGGAAATCTCGGAGGCACGCAAAATCCCGTGGATGCTGCCGCCGCCGCTGGGCGGGATGAACGGGGGGAGGATGGATCCTCTCCGCTCCGACCACCCGGGACAGTGAATCCCGATCGATGGCGAACCGAGGGCGGGAGAGCGAGCGGAACGGCGGAATTCTAAGCGCGCCCGCCGCGCTCTTCCTTTTCCGTGAGAAAGAGTGCCGCTTCGGCGCCCGGAATCCCACGGCATCGCGATGCGCGCGTCAAAACCTCGCGAACGGCAACCGTAAGGTGTAACTAATAGAATTGCGATTTTAGAAGAGACGTAGAAAAAGATATCTAGCATAGTTCCTTCCCTTTTCCGTTTAACGCGTACTTGCAGATTGCTTGCAAAAAGAAATTTGCTGTATCTATCGTTACGCAGAGATTAAAAATGTAGACGACATCTCTGAGTTCAATAATGATCGTAGCTCATATCGCGGTTCCTCAAACTCTACGATAACGATAACGACAAAATGCTCGGCGAACAGTCGAGCGAACTTTGACTTTGCGTTTCGACGAATGAAATTCGTCGATTCGGCGATTTATCGATGTGGAAACACCGAGTAAAGTAAGGCTGTGCTCTCGCTGGTGAATTGAAGGAACTTGAGGAACGCGATATCTGATTTTTGTGAGATTGGTGGTCGAGTTACGTGACGTACGCTACGTTAGATAGTACTGTGTAGAAAGCGTCCGCCTCTCTCGCGATAGAGTGAAATGTAATTGAGCAACGGGGAAAAAGTATACGCTGCGAGAGAGCGTCTCACTGTTCTACACCTCTCACAGATATACGAATGATAACGGCATCGTGTACTTAGCTCTGATAGAAGAAACGATAGTGACGAGAGAGCGAGCGCTCGCGACACGAGCGTTTCTCAACAATATAAGGATATAGGGATAAAATTATAGCGATAAGTTTTCGTTCAGCAAGCATTTTGAAAACGTCGGCCGTATCCAAATCAGTCAATTTCATCCACCGAAAATATAAATCAATTTTGCAGATTAGATTATCGCTCCGTTTACCGAGGTTATCTGTAACCTCATGACCAGTTTAATCAAGACATTCCGGCGCGAGTAAATCGCAGGATATTCCCCGGAATATATCCAGCGCAGGCTCGATAGGGTGTGCATGATGACGTGGTGCTGTGTAATAGCGAATTCGGTTGGATGCGGTAGTGCGCACTGGCGCACGTTAAAGGCTGTCGTACACAAATCGACGTAAAGGCACGGTACATAAGCGAGTCGGACCACGAGAGTGCAATCTGTCGCATTGTTTGAGAGAATACACGCTCGGCGTTTCGTTAATCCAGGTGTTTGGCATCGCGCTTTTAAACCCAGATATATTATAGCGTACGACAGGCTTTAATCTGCTGCGGAGCGCGCCTAGTGCATCCAATCGAATTCGCCGTGAGTAATTTAGCACGTTATCGGACGGCCTTAAAGTAGCGTATCAGACGTATACGAGGAAGCCTGAGAACGAAACGAAAGCGAGAGAGAGAGAGAGAGAGAGAGAGAGAAAAACTCTCGTGGGTTTCGTTTTGTCGAATTCCGTGGCGAGAAGACGCGGATAGAAAATCGCGGAAGTGTTACCGACCGAAGAGGCGAACGACGCCGTGCAAACGGTCCCTCTCTATCTCCCTCATTCTCTCCCTTTCTATCTCTCTCACTCCGGGCTTGGCAAAGCTCCGGAAACTGGATCGAAGCGCCGTTGCACCGACGGAGAGCGTCGACGGATGAGGCGGCGGCGGCGGCGTCGGCCACTGGCCGCACCGCTCTGCACGCGCGTATATACATAATTAGACGCAATTAAACGACCGCCTTATCTGCACACGACGAGATCTCTTTCCCTCTCTTTCTCACTTTTTCCCTCCCTTTTTCTCTCTTACTCCTCAAGCGTGCCGCGCCCGAGATCTCTCGTGGTTTTTCCACTCGCCATGGAGATAAATCCGACCGACCAATAAACCCCGCGTTTCAGTGGGCCGCCGCGGTAAGTTCTCCTCTGCACAGTGGGTCGCCGCGTGCAAAACGACCAATCTGCGTGGATATAGAAGCTCGAAAGTCAATTTTCCAGGAATAAGGATAAGAAAGTAGAATTTACGGGCTGTATATAGGACAGTTTCGTCGCGACGTTATTACCGTTCTCCGCGTACGGTTAGCGCGTGGTACAGTAAAATTATATTATAACCGTACCTTTTCTGATCGTCTTCTTTGAAAATATCGCTTGGAAAGTATAAGAAATACCGGAAGAACGTTTGACGCATTAATGTGTCAATCTTGGCCTCCGGTACAGACACTACGGTAAAAGTAAAAACTTGAGAGGCGTGAAAAATCTGTTTAATTTCATCCGCGTCTCTATATTTCAAGCTAAATAAGCTCGACAAAAGCGAAAGCAACCACGACGCATTCCGACGTGGAGCTTATTGGTCGCGCTTCGTTTATCGGTTAAATCGCGCCGACTCGATCGAGATGAGAGATTATATCTCGATGCCTCCCGCAAACGCCCGCTAACTTAATCCTTTCGGTCCCTCGTGGGTTTTACCTGAGGGACGCGTCTCTCGCGCTTACAGGAGGCCAGGCTAATCCGCTTGGACGTACTCACCTTGTTGTGCGGCAGCTGCGTGGGCACGTAGAGCGGCGGATCCAGACCCGGACTCGTGACAGCGTGACGCCCGATAATCCTGTCGGCCGCTTTCGCGTCGTAGCCTTCCGGCTGGCCAATGTGAAAACCTTTGCTCTTGACCCAGAAGCGGAACTTGCTGTTCTCGGCGCTGTTCACTTCCTCGCCCCGTAAAGTCCTCAAGATACGGGCGTACTTCTTGATGGTGATCGTCTTGGTCTTGGCGAGATCGCCGTACGTCTTGATCACCCACGGCTGATAAGCGTTGAACATGGCGTCGTTTTGAAATTTCCTCGGCGAAGCGGCGGTCCCGTCAACCCCTTTCGGGCCTTGCGCCTTTTGCACGCCGTACGGGCCGCCGTTCACATTCGGTGATGACATTCCCGAATACGACATTGCCATTCCGCTCTTCGCGTCCACCGTGGCGGTACCGCTCGCCGTGTATCCGCCGTTTAACGAGCTTGCGGCGCCGGAAGCGGTCAACGAACCACCGGTCATGTTGGAGATGTCGAGGTACGAAACGGACGAGCTCTTGCTGAGGTTCGTGGCGTTGCCGACGAAGGTCGCCATGGAGGTCGACATGTAGGGTGGAATCGGCGTAGGTGGCATGCCGAGGCTTCCGGCGCACAGGCTGGCCGTTTGTCCGCCCGTCAAGCCCAGCCCGGTAACGGAAGCGTACGACGGCACGTCCGACATGTTCGACGTGGTCGGCCAGCTGGTCGAGAGCACGGAGCTGTTCGATATATTGCTCGTCGACGAGGAGGCGGCCGTGCTGGTAGCCGTCGAAGTGGACGACGATTTGGTCTGAGTAGCCGATCTCGAGACGGAAGTGCCGCGACTCTTCGAGATCTGGCTGTCGGTTGAGATACTCGTGTTCGTCGAGACGGAGGACGATGCTGAGGAGGCGGGGCAGGAGGCGCTACCGCCTTTCCCTCCGCTCGTCGAAGTCCCGCGGGACTTCTTCGTCGGTGGCTCGTCACGAGTGCCGCCATTCATCGAGTTCAGATTGCCGTGGGACGGGCTGTTGTTGTTCTCGCTTCTCGAACGCTTGCTCGACGACGACGCGCTCGTGGACAGTGATTGGCTTGAAGGAGTCGGCGAGTTGTTCACCGGCGCTCTGCGACGCAGGCCCATCGTCGTCGCGCTAGCCATGTTGTGCGTGTTTTAGGTGTCGGGGTTCTGCTCACCGTTATCCTGCGACCGGTACATCGACACTGGACCAGCACACTTCGGGGCACACCACCAAGATCACACCACAGAGATCATTCACGATCACTCGTAACACCGCGAGATGTTCGTACGATATTGAATAAGTCACTCGCGGCCAGCGATGGTCCGCGCGAGTATCGTCCAAGAAACCCCTCTCGGCGTTTCTCTCCTTCAGGAACGGCGATAAAACGACGGGCAAGGTGATGCTGCGCCCCTGAAAACAAAAGAGGGACGAAATGTGACGAGGAAAATTAGCTATGCGCAATTAAGCGGCGGAAACGTTTAAAGCGCGAAGGGCGCCGCTAATGGACTACTAGCTGGAGTAGCTGGAGACTATCGCCAGTGGGAGAGGTAGATTATAGCTGCTCGGGGATATAATACGCGGCAGAAATTCACTCGGGAAATTGACTGCCGTCGCCTTCCACCAGTTCCACCTTCTGTCCGATAATAGACGCGCGGCGTGGCGTCTCGCTCGCGCGCGTGAAACTCTCACTGTGAATAAAACTCTCCGTTTTAAGCGATTCGATCGCTCTCGCCTCCTTCCGAGCTTGTACATCGGGGGATCGTAGACCCGTTAACACCCAGCGAGCGCGGTCGTTTATTTCGAAAGCTATAGCTATAGCGTATACGCAAGCAAGAAATCTCGCTGGAATGAGTAGGGTTGTTTTGCATTTTTAGCTCGCTTAGATCCATTTCGTTTGCAAACCCGCCGCTCTCTTTTGAGATAAACGGTTCACATACGTACTTTTTTTTAATTTTCAAGAGCACAACTGAGACGTTGTTATTACAAAGTTATAAACGATGCGAAGAGAACCTTTCTCGGAAGGGAAGGATCAATTACTCTCGCTTATGTACATCATTCGCGCCTGAGGTAGAAGCCTCGCGCATCTTCGCGGATATCACGTTTCAACTCTAACCGCATATGAAGAAATAGGGACTTTTCGCAAGAGCGACATTAAGGATAGGCAACGACGCTGGCACAATTAGCCAGCAGCTTACACGATGTACTAAACATGGGGAAACCGGTTAGCCGCCGCGACCTTCCTTTCGCGCGTGGGCCATTTTTGCGTCGCGCGTATCTGCATGACCGATATCGGGCTAAAATATTGTGTACCACCACCGTGTGTGTCGTTCGAAAAGAAAAAAAATATCCCGATGCAGGACCGAACGGCTATTGCTCTCAACCTCCTGCAGCGAAAACCGGTGGCGGTGGGGCCGGAAAATAATGAGATATAACGACCTAAAAATGAAGCCACCCCTTCGCACGGTTCTCACCCCTAGATTACGCATCGGGCACCCTCGATGTCACGCCCTCCGGCGAACGTTTTATCTCTCGCTGGTTCTATCTAGGATCGAGATCCCCGAGATAAAACTGTGACGATTCGCCTATATTCATATGCCGAATGTAAATTTGTGTAGCGAGGTGGGATGTGTGTTCGGAATCACCGCAAGTGTATCGAAGATCACGTACACAGTGCGGATAAACGCGGTCGAGCGGTACAATCCGCAATTGCGGCGCGTACCTAAGAGCGGGAGCTAATTCAATAAGTTCGATCGGACTGTCTGTCCACCTTGGGTAGTTCGCTAACGGCCCGAGGGCGACACTTAAAGCCCCCTTGGGTCACAGAATATCAGGATAATCCTCGAAATACTGACCGGCGAGTCGTCCCGCACCGTGGCGAAAGGATATCAAAATGAAATCTCTCGGAGACAGCCAATTCCATCGATGCAACTTTGGGCTATGCTAATGCGCAAATTGTTGAAAATCGCGGGAGACATTCAATGAGAACGACTTGAGCCGGGATAGACGTGGGATAGCTGCTTCACTAAAACTCTTAAAGATAGCGGGAGAAACAAGATAGCGAATCCTATTTCATACCTTGGCCGGTATTCATAGTCTTCAAGATCGTCTTAAGTAATGTCTTAAGACGCTAATACGGCTCTGTGATTGGTTCATGACATCTTAAGATTGAACTTAAGACGGTCTTAAATAACTATGAATACCGGCCACACTTGTCTATGTAAAAACAGCTTATAAAATAATCGACGATCAGTGTTATTTTTTTATTGATCAATAAAATCGACTGTGATTTGTAATCAGAGACTACATAACAAATAAAATGTATAAAAAAAAGAACGATTAATTTATCTTTTATATGCGCAATAATTGTTTAAATGGATTTATATAATTATTAAATATCATAGAAATTTTTTTATTACAAAGAAAATCGCTGAATATCGCTGAAAGTCAACATAAAACTGATAAGACACAAAGAGATATCCATAATAAAGACTGGTTATTCTAATGTCAATGATGCAGACCGAGATATATCCCTAATAAATACTCCAGCTTGGATCGTTCGATATGCCCCGGCAGGAGAGTCACGCGATGAACTGGCATTGGGACGGATTTCTTATTTTTGCGATTATCGCCCTCGGGAATGTCAATCAGCGAGCCGACTGGTCGACCCGAGAGCGACTGGATTCCCGAGTAAAATGGCAAACCTCTGCGGTTTACGCCAGACAATCGAGAAACAAGCCCGCTGGCGGAAACTAATTCAATGAGGCCGATCGAAACGTCTAGCGCGGTGGCTGGCATAATGGCCGGGTCGCGATGTACGCGATTTCCTTCAATTGACAGTGAGCCAAAGAGGGAGAGAGGCGAAATGGAAGGCTGGATACGGTCGAAAAGTCACGGTGATATCATCGCCAGATAACCGACATTGTCCTGTCGCGGAGATACGATCGCGCAAACGTGCGAAAAGGTTTATTTCGAGAGCCGTGATCCCGGAGCGCCTTAATTAACGGCTCGATTAAGCAGTTATTAACTACCACAGTCGCATTTAATCCACGCCGCCGCGCCGGACCGCGAGCTCGTAGATAGAATCAATTGAGAAAGACCAAAGATAAAATAGTATGGCGGATTATTTGTGCTGATTATATATATTTTTAGAAGGTAGGTATTAAGATATGAAAATGATTTCTTCAATTATGATGTGACATGTAATGAAAAATATCATATTTAACGTGGGAACAGTCATCTGGGATTATTTTTATACCTCAATTAAAATCATTGTTATTAATTATATATTGCATATATTTCATTGTTCTATAATTTATTAGTATTCGAAAACAGTATGTACGTGGATTTACTCAATATTTTTTGAAAAAATAAAGAGAAACCAAAAAAATGTTTTAAAAATGAGAGAAGCACATTAAAACTGGATGTGAGCTTCCAAGCATTTTTTTTTAACACGGGTATAAAAATCACCCCACGTGACCATTCCCGGGTAAATGGAGTCAAAAAAAAATAGTGTTAAATATCTACGTGCGTGCATGATCTGTAAATAACAATAGATATATCAACAATCTGAAAAAGCGATAATCGAATGGCAACTCAATTTTTAATCAAATCGATAATTTGCAGAAATATTCATTCAGCAATTATCGAAGTCTCATCAAGCTGTATTACATGCAAGCTTGTTTGGGATTAAGTCTTGGAATTTGGGATTAAGTCTTGGAATTTGAGATTAAGTCTTCGTGAGAGCAACTCTAGGATCTTGAACGGCCGGCCTTCTCTCGGAACGCAAAATTTTAACGTGTCGAGGGAAACTTAATAAGCGTCTAAAGCACGAAGTCGAAAATTAAGTTACCTCGTCGCATTCCGATTTCGTTGAACGCAGTAGCGCGCAAACGCTCGCTTCGGACGGAAACCCGACGAGGTGAAAAAAGCTGCGAGAGCCTGCATTCGTGAGTGGGTGACCCGATTAGGTTAGCGGCGGACTACGCTTAGATAACTCGCGGCGAACAATCGGGAGACAAACCCCGACAAAGTCCCGAGCGAATGCCGGGGGGGGGGGAGAAGGAGAGCAAATTCAATAAGACCGATCGAACCGTCCCCGTCCGGCACGGTAGCCGGTATAATGGCCTCGGTGCGCGATATATCCGCGCGCTCCTTTAGGTGGCAGAAACGGGGCCCCGGGACGGCGATATGTCTCGGCTTAGAGCCGCACACAAGTCACGTAGTGGCATGGGACCACCACCGAGTATTATAGCACGTCCCCTGCCGTCCCCGCCGATTCTCCCCCTTCGATCCCCTTTACCGCGTCGCTCCATCTCTCTTCTTCTCTCTGTACATATCGTCCTCTCTTTCTCTCTCGCTCGCTTTCTGTGTCTCTTTCCTTCTCTCTCTCTCTCTCTCTCCCCATTCGTGTACATATTACTCGGCGTATAATGTGGGTGCCACTCGCACACCGAGCGGCCGGGTGTCACGCTACGTGCTTCCTGCCCGTAGGCTATAATGCGACAAAAGGCCTTATGTCCGCCCGCTCGTGGGACACTCGTGATCGCAATGTGTAATCAAGCTCGCATGGCCACTGTATTACCACGTACGCCCACCCGTTGTATGCGTGCATACGCGACAGTTTCGGTTATCCGTTTCCCGCGCAGGACACCACCGCCCTCCCGCTCCACCCCGTTCTCCACCCCTTCGTCCTTGTCCCACCCGCCAATCGGTTTCGTAACGGCGGCTACTGATCGGCAAATTCGCGGCTGTTATTTCAACCGGAGAGAACCGAATGTTCTTTTTTTTTCTTTTTTATCGCGAGTAAAAGTACACACACGATACACGGAGTATTTCTGAAATAAGGTCGCTAAACTTTGAATGAGAAAAAATCGGACAATCATAAATCTAGCGAAACATCCTTTGTCCGCCGCAGAAAAATATGTCTAAAATTTCAAAGAAGTTTCATTTAAATTAAATATTGTTTCCTTTTTTATTTTTTTTTTATTTTTTTTTTAAGGAAGTGTTAGAAATGGTTTCTTTCATCGAGATACGCGTTTCACATACCAACATTTCATAACTCAAATATAGATTTATGAGTTTATGAACTTGCTTCGACGTACGAATTTTCTCTGTAACGTGTTGTAATATAAAATTAATTCATCATATCACGTCGGATATTGTCTATAATACGAAAAAATAGTATTCACATATCTAAGTTTATCAGATATTCTTACAAAACTCTGACGTAGATGAAACACGTTTATAACTCGGAAAGAAGCCAATCTATGATCATATGATCTTCGTTTCGTCTCTCAAAGTGCGCAGTATATTCCCGCAATTTGGCGATCTATATTACGAATATCATATGCATTTTGAGAAAGAGAAAACATGTTATTCTACTTAATTTATTCGAAGTAGCAAGCGATATCAAGAAACACGTTTGAGCCTCACGACAAATGTCACTCACGACAAACGGCGACACTTGACCGAAGAAAAAACGTCATTTCTTTTCTCGTTAAAAAAAGAGACTCAAGTTAGGAGCACGTGCAATTGCCTCTTGAAAAAAATTTTTATCTCTCAGACGATGAAACTAAAAAAGATGAAGATATTCGCTAGTTGGAACGACACTCGCGTTTATTAGCTTACCGAGTCGACTAGTTGAGACTTTCTACCGTCGTAAAACGAGTTGTTTACTCCGCAGTATTAAAATGAGAGTATATAAATGAGAATTCGCCAATTGCCGAATTCACGACGCGGTTTCGAATTTCGAGCGAAAATCTGGTCGCAAATGTTTCGCAATTGCGATCGGAAGTGCGTCAATCCTGACAATTTCGCGCAAGTCGATAGAGCTGAAGGAGTCGAAGCGATGATAGGCGAGGCAATTTACGATCAATATACAGACACGTGTTTTCGACGCGCGGCCAGTTTACGTAAAATTTCAGGTGAACGTTCACGGGAACAAGATTACAACAGACGCATAATTAGCGCGAAGAGCACAAAATCCCGCAAAAACAGCGCGACCCACGGTAAATGTCGCCTGTAGATGTAATCGCGCGGGACTCGCCGAAAATCCTTTCGTATAAACGCGACGAGTTTTATTTTCAAGCGTTGAAGGATCAACGTAACGCGATCACGAGATGCAAGCGAATCTGCGCAAGTATCCTGGTCTTGTTGCAATCTCGTTCGCCGTAAGAGCTATGTGAGAAGCTATATCCGTCCTTAACTACTTTTATCGATCATCCATCAGACTATCGAGACTATACCGTGAGATAGTTTGATTAGTTGCTTTACATCCAATCGGGTCACTGCCTAAGAAGGATTATAGACAAGAGGTAATGTATCTTCGCGACTAATCGCACAAGTACGGTGCGTACGTTCTTTGATGTTTAATTTCTCCGACCTTGCGATTTCGAATCTAATCATTTTTTAATAAATAGCGTGCGCCGCAGTTAAAAACAATAGTTAAAAACAAACCTGCAAAAATCTTAAATGTTTCGATCTTTAAATGTTGCCGCGTCCATAGAATGTGCTGTGCAGGATTGATCGTTAACGAGAGTTTATCGCTAAAGCGGTTTTATCGCAAGAAATGACGTTCCCATCTAACGCACAGAAGCGTCGAATAATGCGGCGAAATGCCACGCATTAACAAACTCTTTAGAAAAGAGCCGCGTATGCGGGATCAGGACGCACTATCGCCGATAATGACACGTTACAGAGGCACCGCAAACGAGCGCTTTGGATTTTCAATCCGACCCCCCGTGTGCGTGTTTTCCACATCGTCCGCCTACGTCGAATTAAACCGCCGGTGAAAAGAACCACGTTAAACGCAACAATCGCGTGCGATCGAAAGGGCGGCATTCTCATAACACTTCGAAAACCGATAACGAGACTTTTCTCGGCATTTCGCGACGAGGTAATGCGCTTAGACGCGACAAAACAACACTCCGCCAAACGTCTCGACGTATTCTCACCGCTCGCGCTCTGACGATTCTCTCCGCCAAATCAAATCACATCCGGTTGGGAAAGTTAAACTTTTGTCAGAAGAACCACCCCGCCTGAAGGATCGACCGATTACATTCACCGCGAAACTGGCGCGCCATTCGCGAAACGGCGCGGCGCGGCGGCCCGTTAGATCCCGTCGGAGAAACCGTCGAACGCTCTCCTCGCTCGAGTCCCGAAGTGGCAGTAAGTTGAATTCCCAAACGGGCGGGTGTGGCGACCGGCCCGCAACGGGCACCGGAACGGAGCGGACGAACGCCGCTGTCTCTCCTTCGTCGTTCCCTCCTTGACGTGAGAGCTGCCTCTCTGTTCCGCGAGAGGAAAAGGGAGGGACAGAGAAAACAAACGAAACGTAGTCCACTCGGAAAATACGAATTTGGTCTTCTCGATCCACCGTCGTTCGCGCCGATCGATCGATTGTCGTCGAGAAGCGTCAACCTTTTCCGGTCACAAAGAGATTTTTCAGCGCGCGAATCTAAATGTATAAATCGCGATATGATGGAGCCAGATAGAATATGACGCGCAAAAATTAGAAACAGAACGTATGATCGACGGTTTTCTTTGGCAAAGAAGTTGCTGCGTTCGCGGGATTTTTCTCGGTATCAATTTTATTTCGGAATGCGACGATAATGCGGAATATGCATGAGATATCGATTACTTTATAGCACTTGTCTATACGGTATGTTGCAAAACCGTACTACTTTGGAATAGTTTCGCGAACAATTTTGTTGTTAGAGTTTGTCACTGTGGATCGTTTGATGGATAAATAAAAATGCCGATTGATGTATAAACTAAAAAATCATGTATCACTCATTCACTATAAGAAGGGGATTAAACGCCGACAATCGCGACAGCTCGACGGATGATCGACAAGAGCAAAAACCATGTTTTACATTTTCCAACAGATCTTCCACTGATCACGTTTGTATATCACGAGTGAATTCCGCGAGAATTCTTTCGTTGACGTTTCGTTCACCAATATTAAACAATAATTTCCGGCGGACGAAATGTCGCGCGCAAATGACAGAGCAAAATTTGAAACATTTCCGAGAAAACGCAGAAAATCGCGCGAACAGCCAGACAATCATAAAGTAATGATCGAAACTCACTTGAAAATCGTCGTCTTCACACTGTCACATCGAAATCACACGCATGATCGCTCATGCACTGGCAACGACCGGCGTGAGATCCGCGCTCCGCTCACGAAGTCGCTTTCGGGACAAAGAGTCCGGATGGAGATCGGAAAAAGAGAGGGAAAAAAAACGAGATCTCTCTCTTGGCACTGTCACCGATCCGCAACGTAACGCGGGGCTTCTTTCGTGTCCACCGCGCGCGTCCACTGAGTGTGCGAGATCCGTGCCGCGTGTCTGTCCGAAAGTGTCACCTCCCTCTCTATTTCTCTCTCTCTCTCTGTCTCTCTCCCCGGACGACTCCGATGTGCCGGCGAAGATCCGTGAAAGGAGGAAGAAGAGGCGCGAGATCGTTCTCGCAACCCGGTCTCGCGTGGACGAACGCCGTCGGACGCTCGGTGGTGGCCACTTCTTCTGTGCTTCGCTTTCCTTTTTTTCTCGGCTCTCGTCTTCCACCGGGTAACCACCAGCCTGACGATGTTGACGTCGCGCGGCAACGAGGCGAGTAAAGGAAGACCACGACGGCGACGGCCAGCAGGAGGAAGAGCGGCGGTGGAAGAGTAGAGGAAGGCTACGCGGGGGTGGGGAGGGAGGAGGAGTAAAAGACAGAGCAAGCGAGAGAAAGAGAGAGACAGAATGAGGACAGACGGACAGAATAAGTGAGAAAAACAGAGAGGGGGAAAGAGAGAGAGAGAGAGAGAAGGACAGCGAAAAGGAAGAATCGGAGCAAGAGCGAGCGCCGGCAGACTGGGTTGACTCGGTGGCCGAGCGGTATCTCACCCGCGAAAAGCGTCCCGCGATCAGGTGACAGCGGGAGTACACACCGGCGTTACTCCCGAGAGCGAGAGGGAGAAGCGGGACCGACAGACGAGAGAGGAGTCGAAAACGGAGAGGCAGGACAGCTGGCTGTGGTAGCGAGACGAGGACGGCCGAGTCGCGAGCGGAACGTGGAGGGAGCGTAGAGTGGCGTGAAGGAGGGACCAAGCGGGAGGCTAAACACGTCGGTGAGAGAGGGATAGATAGGACGGGACGCGAGAGGGTGAAAAACGAGATGGAGAACGAGCCGACGGAGATGGGAGACGGAGAGAGAGCGATAGCCGGTGCTCGTGCGTTCGCCGAATGTAACTCGACTGGCAGAGGAGGGCGAGGAGAGGCTTCGTCGGGACAGAGTGGGATGCAAAGAAACGCCGCGCGCTACGGACGGAGAGGGAGAAAATTTCAAGAGGGAAAGAGAGGACTACTTGCGCGCGTGTGTGTGTGCGTGAGTGTGTAAAGCTAGAGAAAAAGGGAGACAGAGTCGGAGCGGCAGCGAGGGAAACGAGGGAGAGCGACCGTGGGTGACGAAGAAGGGCGAAGTGGGGTGCCGATGGAGAGCCGACGAGAGAGCGTACGAGCGGGGTGGCAGAGGGTAGGGAGGCAGAGAAGGGCTCCCTGATCGCTTCTGAGTGCAAACGGTTCGGCGTGCGGTGGGACACTGGCAGTCAGTCGGGCGGGCGGGCTGGCTGAAACTGCTGTGGATAGCGGGTGGCGAGCGGCGCGGCGCGGCGCGATACTCCACGGAACGGTACGGGACGGGCCGAGAGCGCCGAGCCGGGCCGGGACCCCCATCTAACACACGCGCGCACACGGACGTGCGCGCGGCGCACACACGCCGAAGGCCGGGGCGCTCGCGTGTAGTCGCCACCGACAGAGGCACCGCACGGAGAGGCGCGGCGAACACAGACGCGCATTCACACGGATAGAGTCGGAGTCGGGCTGTCGGACGAACGGTCGGTCGGTCGGTCGGGTGCGGGATGTCGGGGGAGGAAGGGCAATGAGCAAGGCAGGCAGGCAGAGGCAGGCAAGCAGCAAGCAGGCTCGTCTCTCTATACGAGTCTCGGCGCGTTACTACGCCAACGGCTCTGCCTGCTTGCCTGCCCTCGGCTCGGCACGGCTCGGTCTCGCTCGGGCGCCCGCACCGCACTAGCCCGACTCTACCCCGCTATCCGTCTCTCCGTTCGTCGGTCGGGCTCTCTATGCCTCTCCGTCATCCTCGTCGCTCTAGCGTGACTCGTCTCTCGGCGCGGACACCTCTCGTTCAGTCGTCTGACTCCATCGTCCCGCTACTCCGACCGCCACGCTGCGCCGCGCCGCGCCGCGCCGCGCCAAGCCGAGCCGAGCCGAGCCGAACCGAGCCACGCCACGCTACCTCTCACGCCGTTCGAGCCGATGCTCGGCCGATGCTCTCTTCCGTAAGCGCGCACGCTTGTCTCCTTTTTTCCACGCTATATCCGCCGCCTCTTTCCTCTACCTAGACCCCATGTCGCGATATACTCCCTCTCTTTCTCCCTTCTCCGTTACTTTTTCTAGCTACCGCCTTTTCGATCCTCTCCGCGGGACGTCTGGTTTTCTCCGTCAGAATCGTCGTTCATCGTCATCGCGCTCGCCGTCGTCGGGCCTTCATCGTTTCATACATGTCCCCGTGCCAATTTGAAGCCATGAAGGTCTTTTCTACACGCGGGCGCCCACACCGGAACGGTGGCATGCGGTAGGCCTGACGTATCTATGCGCCTACCGGAATTTTCTAAGATTGGACACGATGCAGAGAAAAAGAGCGATGTTCGACAAAATGAAAAGAAGACCTAAACTGTAACCCTGTGACCTTCTTTTCTGTCTTACAAGTGAATTTTTTAAAAACCACAGATTCCTCTGGCGACATTCCAAAGATTGCTTTAACGTCGCAAATCTTACACCGTAACTAATTTTGAGTCCCGAGTTTGAAGGTTCGGCATGATGTGGTCGTTCGTTATCTGCTTTTTCTTTAGTTTTGCGAGTATTAGCGCTGAATTATTCAACGCGCATCGTGTAAGTCTGCGCAGAACCTCGGTCCTTGAGAGAACCCGGAGAAACGGACCGTCGCGATTACGCTTGTAACTGAACTCGAGACTTTCCTCATCACTCGCGGATTCACATGGAAATATTTCTTGGAGTCCACGAGAATCGAAGACAGTAATTCCAAAAGAATACTTAGCTTAAGATCAGAAGGATTAGTGCTCTCTTTGCCACGCTTTTCTCCTATTATATTAAAATTTCCCGACTTAGTACTTTATATCGAATAAAGACAGTTTTAAATGGAGAAGAATTTTATGTAGCATTCTTGCCAGGCGATAGAAATTCCCATTATACGATAAATAATTTGTTAATTCGTGGTAGGACTTGCAGTTACTAGGTAACCATTGCGGCGTGCCACTTCAATAACAACAATGAAAAGGACAAGCTTGAGATGACTATTGAAATTCGACATTGTTGCGTGACTAACCTTGTCTTCCGCCTAAACTTCGAGATACGGTACGCGCGGAGGGTCTTGACACTTTTGAGAATTCATTGCAATGCTTCCGACCTGGGAAGGAACACCACTTAGCTATTCCGAGAAAGTATACATCCCGCACACAAACTGCGAAAGAATAGTCGATGCACGCCCGAAGTTGCCTTAATCTCTATCCTCTTCTCCGCCCCGCGTCGCTTGAAACGACAGACTTTCAGGGTGACTTCACGCTCAAGCGGTGGTGGTCTGGTAGGAGAGAGGAAACAAAAGACGAGAAAAAGGGACGTAGAACGGTCTCGGAGCGTGAGCGCGAGCGCACAAAGGAATCGGCGAAATCGCGAGGTATAACGCCTAGAACAGTAGGCGTTTCGTTCGCCGGTTAAAACCGGGAAGAAACCTCACGGAAATCGCGCGTTTCGTTTCAAGTATCGTCGAGGGAGAGGAGAAAAGGAATCGCCGCGAAGCCGATGCGAAGCGCGACGTCACGGAACGCTCCTTTAGAATTCCGATTATTCAGAGAAAGCAGAAGTCGGACGCGCGCGCGCGCGCGCGCGGAAGAGCGAGAGATTATCGGCGGCAAGCAGGAGCGAGCGAGACCGAGTGCGCGGTAGGGGGCGGTACCCCTTAACACCGGGCACGAGGCAAATAGGGGGACCAGCTGTGTTCTATCCTTGTTCGGGTTGCTCTAAGGGGGTCGAGGATTATTAAAACGGACGGGGAACAAGGAAGAGAGGCAGGAGAAGGGAAGGGGGCAGCCTTCTACTGTTACGGTGCACAGCCTCGGGAACCGGTAAGCCCCACTACCCCGCGCCTCTCATTCTCTCGTTCCGCCTGTCTCTCCTTCTCTGTTCCTCTCCTTCGGCCTCCCTGATTCGGTATTCAAGTTGGAACCGCGGTGCATGCTCTCGGTGCATAAAATGCCCCCTACAATGATCCCAATCAACTGTGGTGCCCATACGCGCGCGGAGCTCAGCAATCAGGACCGCTTTGATGACGGCGGCCAAAAATTCGGCATTAATTCAATGAGAAACGCCTCATGGCGAATCGATACGAGCGATCGATCGATCCGTCGATCGGCGACTCGCCGTCGCTCGTTGTGAATCGCACGCACCGCGAAAGTGGATCATCTATCTTGATCAGCAAGCTTGAAAGCCGAGGCATTCTCAAATGAACGTTGAAGCACTCCTCAAGCGAAAACGTCCCGTGAGGAATAAGCCGCGAGATACCGCGATACCGCAGATCGCAAATAAAACATGATCGATAAATACCCCCAAAACGTTGCCGAAATAATTCGTTTTGTGAAATCGGCACGAGTGCGTAAATTGGAATCTGTCTACACCTTGCGATTCCTTCGACACCTTGTGTCTTCTGGGCACAATGAAAAGCCGTCGGGCGCATGTAAGGTTGTCTTTTAAAGAACGCAAGGACGCGTTACCTGCGACGGAAAAGAATTCTTGCCTTGATTCTTGCCTTGTTTAGATGGGCCCTTCCCAGACAAAAGAACCCAAGTGGAACTATTGCGAAGTCATCGTAGAATAGCGTTGGCTTCAAAGCTAATGCTAATATTATGATACGAATGTCGAGTTTTAAACTGTTGATCCTTAAGAACAGCACCAATCTCACTGGCTTATTCAAAAAGACACGTTTGATCTAATTTTCGTTTGCTCACCTCGACTTGATTTATAGACTACAGAACCTTGGCATCCATTGGATAATGTTCTTTTGTCTATTTATATTCCCATGTATAAAACGCAAGTATAATCCTCATGCATTTAAAACGTAGCGCGAATTCAATCAACAGTATCTCTTTGTACTATTATAAACTCGTCGCAAGTTCCTTTTTATTTTTAACTATATCTTTCTCATTCTCACCCTTCTCAACCTAACTTCTATTTCATTATTATGCAATATTGTAGAATTTTTGTACTCGCTCCAAAAAATTTAAACCTACAATTTAATCTAATTGTAAGCCTAAATATATAGACGATACTCTTGCGCGACTCAGTTTTTCTTGTTCGACGCAATAACGCGTCCTCGATCCAAGTATATTCATACCTCTCCACTTAAGCGCCGAGCTCAATCACGCGTGAACGTTCTAGAGAAGATTCCCTTTCTTCAGACGGGATAACCGACACAGGCACGGTCCGTGGACGGCGTTTAGAAACAGTCTGGGATACCGTTCCGGGCGACGGGCACAGGCCGGTGCGGCGGCGGTACCGAGCGACGACCACTACGAAGGATCAACACGGCAACGTCCCGTCACTAATTACATTCTCCTCGCGCAATCACGGTCGGCGCGTACATACACCGTGTGCGCCGCGTTTCCGCGCGAGCGTCGCCGCTCCACGTACACACGTACACAGTCACGGAGTCACGCTGTCCGCTGGCGAAAGTCCAAATCTCTCGGCAGATTAAAAGCTTCTCACGGCGATTCTCTTGACTGGAGTTCCTCCCACGTTTCCCTGAAAAGTCTCTACGGAGCGAATCGGCGGCGGAGCCCGCCGATCCTCTCCGTTCTCTTTCTCTTCCGTCCTCGTTCCGGACGAGGCGAAACGACAACCACAAAACCGAGTACGCACGTGAGGGACCCCCACGTTCCCGGGGGTCCTCCTTCACGTGACGCAAGCTCGAAAACCTAAAAACACTGAGAGATTCTCTAGACCCGTGGTTATTCACGTAGAACACTTTCTCACACGCATAGATCCAGAAATACCAGTGAAAGATGAGTATGTATGGAGATAAAATGAATCAAATTCTTCAGGATCTTAACCGTCAAAAAGTTCAGCCTATTAATTCTGCTCAGAAATTTCCGAAAGTTGTATAGAATAGTAGAACGAGTTTAATATCGCGATATAATTTGGTTATATGCGAGACAGGACGGAGACGATATATAATAAAAGACATTAGAGATTTCTTAAAGATCGTCAATTTCAGGTCACGAAAGGTCAGGATCCGTTTCCGTAAGAGGAAAACGGGAGCTCGACTTCCTATCGCGGGCGGGGTTTACACAGGATTGGGAGGGAAGTCCTCGTTTTGTCGAGATACCACTTCTAAACGCGACCCAGCTACACTCCCTTATGAGCGCCTCGACTAAGGTAAATTCTGCCAGCGGTGGATTCGGATTGCGAGAGGAGCGAGCGTATGCGGGAAGTTCTGAATTTCGATCGTCGCGCGTTCTGGAAACCACGATGATTTGAATATCATCGGACGTTCCCCTTACGCGCACGTGAATAAACGCGATCGGT